CAGCAAGCAGTTATTTCAAATGATTATCTTTTTAGTTATTTCACAGTTCACACCAGTCTAACATATTTAAAGTAAGAACAAGACCTGTTCTTATCTTCCCTGAGTGTAGAACGTAGAGAAATGGTCTTAAATGATAGGAAAAGAGTTTATGAATAAATTATAGAAGACTTGGACAACAGAATTGATTTTGGGTTGCGGTATAAGCTATTGTTCAACATATTCAAACAACGTCCAAATGTGTTCATGCAAAGACTAGATCCCCATTTATTAGAGATACTTCCATTTGGATTCCTGCATTAGATTCATTGCTCTAAATCAGTGGTTCTCAACCTGCGGGTCAGGACCCCATTTGGGGTCGAACGACCATTTCATGGGGGTCGCCAAACAATGCAGTCCGCCATTTTTCCCCCTTTTCCTTAGCTGTGCTACTCTCTTTTATTCTATTGGCTTTTGAAAGCCAATAGAATAGACTCTCTTGAAAAGAGTCTAATTCTATTGGCTTTCAAAAGCCAATAGGAATTGTCCAGGCTGTCTCTGCCCTGCTGAGCCCGCCAAAAGTCCCATTCTGCAAACGGTGCTGCACCAGTTGAGTAGTCCTCGACTTACGACCGGTTGAGTAGTCTTCGACTTACAACTGGTTGGGGGTCGTGGCATTAAAAAGGTTGAGAACCACTGCTCTAAATGACCTTGTTCAAGTTTAAATAATTTGATAAAAATAATGTAAAGTTTTTAATTTTGTTTCTTCTGTTAAATTTCCAGTTTTAAAAACCCTTCTGCACATTAACCTTCAGCTACTGTATTTTACCATGCAGACATTTTTTTGTCTTATACTGAATTTTTTCCTGCAAGGGACATACGTGTATACATAAAGGAGTAAAGGACAGCTTCCTGATGATATCTGAGTCGAACGTCAGGAATGCCTTTTAAAGATCTTACTCCTCCAATGGACACTTTTATACTCATACAAATTAATCACAACAATTAGTTTGCTTGTTCCAAGAAGTGTGACAAACAGATTTTTTGGAGACTATAGTATGGTGATGGCGAACCTTTTAGAGACAGAGTGCCCAAAAAACTCCCCGCTGGTTCTGCCCCTGCTTTGCGCCCCCCCCCCGCGCCACCCGCCCGCAGGACCATCCACCGCCTCCACAGCCTGCCATAGCAGATCAACCAGGCGGCCCAGAAGCATCAGGGTGGCCATCCCCTCTGCCTGCACCCCGAAGGATCATCTACATGCGATGGGGCACGAGAGTGGAATCTTGTCCCTGCTGCCATGTGCTTGGCTGCGCTGCTTCGTGCGGGCTATGCCTGGGGGCGACTCTCCTCTGGGGGAGCTGCTGGTGAGGAGGGGGCTGGGGGGGGAGGTGGGGCTGGGGTGATGGCACACGTGCCCACAGAGAGGGCTTCGAGTGCCGTCTCTGACACGCGTGCCTTACGTTCGCCACCACTGCTATAGTATATATCTCTTTAATGATTCTGAAATAAGAGTACCAAGATGCTATGTGGAAATATTATTCACCAACCTTCTTGTTAAAAACCTGTTATTGTTTGAATTGATGAATTTCACACACATACACACACAGTTATATTTTCATTTTATATGCTGATTAAAAGAAAAAGCTAAGAGTCAAGAAGGCAAATTAATCTGTTTAAAAGAAAGAACCTGAAGGTATAAAATAATTTATACCCGATGATATAAAGGAATCGAAAACTTCATGGAGTAACAATTATTATAATGTGCCATCCCACCAACATTTCATTCTTGTGACAGATGTTATAGACAACTGTATCTAAAACTAAACCAGCTATTTTCACATGAGTTATTTTGAAATTATGCCATATTCTGTTTTGAGGCTGTATTAGATTTCATATCTTAAGTCCAACTGAACCAGGTGTCTAGCTTTGTCATTCTATACTACATGTTGCAGTAAATGAGCAAAAAAATACTGATACTTTTTATCATACAGCTTATCCTTCAATATATCATGCAAATTCTGAATTGTAGTTGCTATTCAGAATGGGAAAAAGGAAACCAGATGCCACTTAAATTTGGAAGGGATAAATCACTACAGTGACTGACCATCAAGTTAAATTAAACTGAATTTGTAGAAGTTTTAGTATAAAATACTGAAAAGGTATCAGAATGCCTGCTCTTGTTCTAGGTCAGGGGTGTCAAACTCACAACGTCACATGATGTGTCACAACGTATTGCGATTTTTCCATTGATGGCAATGGGATGGGTGTGGTTTCAGCATGACGCATTTGGCCTGTGGGCCGGCAGTTTGACACCCCTGTTCTAGGTGGAAAGCCATCCATCATTACTAACTAGCTCAAGAACTAACAACAAAATTACCTACAAGCAATCACTATTAAAGGCTTATCCACAACTTGTGTTAAATAACAGATTAATCCATGTAGCTTAATCACTATAGGATCTAAATATATACATTTTGTAAGAGGTAAATATCATTCAAAATAAATTGCAGGTATAGTTATTCTTCAAAAAAGTTAGTTAGGCTATATTCACATAACATAGCTAACAAGTTTTTGCTGCTACCCTGGGGTAAACATTTATTCCAGGAATATGATGGCAGACAAATGAGCAGCAGAGCAGCCATCTTTGCAGGAGGTCCAGCTACCAGAAAAGTGGTAAGCTGGGAAGCTGTCATTTCCTGCTTTATGCTCCTTAAGGAAAAAGAAAAAACTGTGACAACCTGATAAGGGCTGGTATAGAAAGGAAGAGAGTATGCATCTGCTATTGTTCTAACTGCCCCTAATGGCCAGGGGGGGAGGGGAGAATGAAAAGAAGAAAGCTCTGAGATAAGGAGCACTTACAGGTGCCCCATTTTTGTGAAACCAGTCTAGGCAATTCTCTCTTTAATAGCAGGGAAGTATCAGAACATTGTTAACTATCCTTCCTACTGCATACAATCTAGGACGGTTAATCCAAAACAACTTTCTCTAACAATAAACAGATTAGGTCATGGGTGCTTACATTACATGTGAACTACCCCTTAATTTAAACATTTCACCCAAACTCAGCTTTAAAATAGCTTTTATTTCTACTGTAACAATTTGGGTTTTTTTAATTTCTCTCTATTAATACACTACAAATAGCTACCAAAACCTTCCACTGCATCATGTCATTGTCTGAATATCTGCTATTACCTATTCACTTTCTTATCGGCAGCAAAACAAGTTTCTCCTCATACATAAGCTTTTTATTACAAAAATCAGCTTACCGGCAAATGTCCTTATCTTGTCTGCCTTCTGTGCTATACGAGCCAAGGCCACCTAACAACTGGATGATAGCTAGGAAGTATATACAAATATAACCTATTCCTTTATACTTTTCCTAGTCAGTCTAAACACCGTGCATATAAACTATTAAAATACATTTATTCTTCTAATGTGCAAAAGCAATATGAAATTCTTACATGTGTGGGCAACTGTAATTTATTAAAAATAAAATTGAAAAGGCATTAGTGCAAAATAAATAAAAACATCAGCAGCAAAAACACTTCTGGTAATAGAAATTTACAGAGACTGAGAAGGTTCTCAGAGAACCCATCTTACCACAAATAAAAGCAATTTGAGAAAAATCTCTAAAGATTACTCCAAGAGACATAACATGAAAAACTACAGAGAAATATGAATTCTGAATCAGAATTTGCACTAATGTCATTGTGCTAAAAAAAGGGGGGGGGAATAGTGGCTATAAGACAAAAGCAAAAAGGATGACAAGAAAACAATGAAGTATAAAGAATGAAAATAACAGATTAACCTGGCATGTAGTGCACAAGAACATGTAACTTGGAAGCAGAAAACAAGTAATAGAATATGAATTAAAAGTTAAGTCAGAGATATGGTCAGTTTTCAACATCAAAATGTAACTCTCAAATATGTTTTGCATTTCTATTCTGTTCTAATTCCAACTATTGAGCTGCTTTTTTAAGCAAAAGGTCTACAAGAAAGTCTTTCCCGTCAATTACTAACATAACTTTTTGTGTAAAGAAATCGTTGCAACAAATTTCACTGAATGCAGACTTCCTAGATGAAAGCATAGGATCTATACTATTTTAGTTGGCAAGCCAAAATAAAGCTTTTCCCAAACAACCCTAGAAAAGTAATAAACACTGTTCATTTTTCTTTTGTGTGGGAAAAAACTGAAACTGAGTTCAAACATAGAAGAATGGGCGCAAACTGGTGTATAAAAGTATCAGCAATGAAAATAAATGCTCTGACAAATAGTACCCAAGACTTTTCTTCTCAAGCACCTACATTAAACTGTTTAGGGAATAATTATTGTAAGATCTTTTTTTATATATATAAAGAGTGATCCTACACTCTCAATACAAAAAGCAGAGCTTGAAGAAGGAACCCAACTTCCTACCTTTCCACGAGATACCGGTACCTATACATCCCCTGCACACCTCGAGATGTAGCCTACAACTATGAACTCCAGCTCAATAGTAGTACCTATAAGTTATCCTTGAGGTGCAGCTTGAAAACAGTTTACTGGGTAAAAATCAAGGCTTTTGAAGCAGAACTCGAAAGGAGGGAAGGGCCAACGGCACAAAGTTTGGAGGAGTATCTTATCCATCCACCGGTTTACACCGGTAGGACAAACTACCACTCGAGAGCAATAAAAGTGGAGTGGGGAACCTTCCTAACTCAGACACGGCGGCAGGCGGCGTCGGAACCCATTCGGGGTGTGACAAAGAGCAGCGAAACCACCGAGAAAAGAGGTGCGAGGCGGCGTCCTATTCGTGGGAGAGGCCCTCAGGCAGAAGTGGCACTCGCCGAAAGGAGGAAGAAAAAGTACAAGGGAAAGGAGGCGAGAACCTCCCTCGCCTTTCGCTCTTTTTGATCCCGAAGAAGAGCCGTTAGGCCCACGGAGCCGTCACTCCACGGGCGAGGAAGGACCCTTCTTCACGTCCGCCACTCCCTAAAGAGGAGAGGAAGCTCTTCCTTTGCCGTCTTCAGCCTTTAGCACCTACCCGCAGGCGCCGCGCCTTCGCTGCCGCTCCGGGAAACCAGGTACTCGGTCGGTCGGCCCAAGCAGTCACAAGAAACACCAGCACGGGAAGTAGGGCGCGCATGCGCGTTCTCAAACCCGCTCGGGCTCGCCGGTTGGTCAGCCTGCTGCCCGTAGGCGCGCGCGCAGTCACCTTTTCTCTGCACCCCGCCTTCCTTTCCTTTGAGCGCTCCTGCGGACATGCGCAATAAGCTACGTTTGGCGAAAAGCGAGAACAGATTCGTTTGCGTAAGGGGGCGGAACTGCGCCGCTAATAAATCACGACTCGGGGAACGAGGAGCTCCAAAGCTGGAGCTAGAAAAGTGGTTATTCGCATGCGTGTCAGTGACGTGAGGCGTCTGGAAGCATCCGGACCAATAGCTTGCTTGATAAATTAGGAGGGCAGGGAATAAAAGGTCGGAATGGGCATGTGTGAATCGTGGAGAGTTTGCGTTTTTTTTCATTTTACAATCGAGGGATCGAGGATCGCGGTGTGGAACTTTTGAAGAATTGGCAAAAAGAGATTCACTTGCAGATTAATCTGTTCAGAATATCTGGAGCAGAATCTTCGGTTTCATTTCTGATAGAGGATATCATACGTATAGAAATCATGTTTCTAGTCCAGGATAATTTTTTATACTTCTGCTAACCGATATGAATGAAAAGAAATGTATGTGACCCCCCTGGTAGTTGTAACTTCAGAGTTTTTAATTCAGTATAACTTTTGAAAACCTGTATTATAATTAGTATTGGTCCAGTATGCCTAAAAATAAGCATGATCATTCCACTTACACGTTTGGCAAATTTTTTCCAATTAACAGTGATCTTTCAAATATTTGCACTCCTGTGCGCTAGAAAAACTCACAGAAATCTAAGAAATGAAATCTGCAGAACGATCACTTGGTTCTCTCTAAAACCATTGTAAAATTATTCTTTGAAGCTATCTGTAGAAACTGTTATTTAGGGGATTCTGCACATGCAGGTAGTCTATTGACCCTAAAATTTCTGTTGCTAAGCAAAACATTTGTTAAGTGAATTTTGCCCTATTTTATGACCTTTCTTATCACAGTCATTAAGCAAATCACTGCAGTTGTTAAATTAGTAACAGGGTTTTTAAGTGAATCTGACTTCCCCATTGACTTTGCGTTTCAGAAGGTTGCAAAAGGTGGTTATATGACCTCGGGACAGTGCAACCGTCATAAACATGAACAAGTTGTCAAGTATCCAAATTTTGATTACCTGACAATAGGCATGCTGCAATGGTTGTAAGTGTGAAAAACTGCCATAAGTCACTTTTTTCAGTGGCATTGTAAATTTGAATGGTCATTATTTGTGTCCACGTTAAAATTACTTTGTTTTTGCAAAATCTCTTAGTATCTTTTTATCTGATAATTGAAAATATATTTGGGCTGCAAGACGGTCTCTTAAAGGAGGAATTAAGCATGTTACAAGGCTTTTGAAACTTTTAAACAATTTGACCATTACACCAATTTGGAACTGGCAGATTGGAAATTGCTATAGAGTTTATTTTGCATATAGATGCCATGGCTACTGGGCAGGAGAAGATTTGCATCAAGAGCCAAACAGAATACTTGCTTTACAGCTTTCATTCTGTTAGAAGTAAAGTCTTCATCCTGGTTCATCCAAGCCGGGAATAAATAAGCAAACATGGCGACTGCTTTGGGAAGAAGGTTACAGTTTATTGCAGAAAGATGGTTCTTCAGGAAAGTGCAGAGGAGAGAGAAGGGGAGGAGATTGAGCACATGGGCAGTAGGTTTTATACCCCCCTAGCCTTTTGTTTGGAAGTTTCCTGTTCCTGTGGCATGAACCTTGAGGCTGTTTCTGAGTGTTTGTCTAGGCCTTGATATCTGTGGTTTAATTCTATTATCATATCCTGCTTCCCAGGTGATGGGGCTGACTCCTAGAGTTTGGGTGGGGTATGCAGATCTTCTCTTTTGTCTTCTTGATTGCTCTGGCTTCAACTTTCTGATGGTTTTACATCTGCATTTGTTTGGGCTAAAGTCTTGCTTGGGGCAGAGAGATAGATTTGGGGCCAGGTTTGGTTTTAAAAAGTCCTTTTGAGGAAAAATATATTTTTCTGCCCTTTTTAATATTTCTTCTCTGGGCTAACTTTCATCAATCCCCGCTTTGTGCCTTAAGTGTGAATTTATGACACACTTATTGGCACAACATTAAAATTGATCTGGTCAGGGAGACTTGGTAGGCAAGCTTTTAAACTGTTAAGCAAAATAATAATAATAAGAAGACATTAATGGAGGCAGCAGAAAAAGATCCCTTTAGTGGCTCCCAAAAGGGGAGCTTGCACCCATAAAGTTCTAAAAGTCAGGGCAAAATTTTGCTAGGTGGAAAAGAAATTTATAGTGTCCAATATTCTGTGCCAATGATTTTCAAATGTTGGATATCACCTTTAGCTTCCAGTCAGGTTTGCATACTCCTCAAAATTCTTCACAGCCATGGTTTTCCTTAGTACATTACCACTGGCTGCCCAATTTCAAGGGTTGTTTCCTGCCTGAGCTCTTAATTCAGTGCATCCAGGTTTGTAATGCCCAATTGAGGTTAGCCAATATGCCAGGCTATTAAATTTTCTTTAAATTGCACATACTGAGCTCTAGGAATCCCAATCTGGGCTTACCAGTGCAAGATATTCAGGGCTGAAGTTTGGGATTTTTCCTGTTGCTTCCTTAGTCAGGGCATATGAATTGCAAATCACCTGAGGGGGCCTAGTTCCCTCCCACCAGATAGAAGTCCAAGGTGTTCAGTACTTGTTCTGCCACATATTCCCAAGTGCCATCTCTCCATTAATACATTCAACTGGCTTGTTACAATACAAATGGGGCAAGAAAGAAAAGTTTACAATGAGTTTCCACCCTCCCCCGACAGTCTTAATTTTCTCTTCTGAGGCTTCACATGGCACCACCTTCCTTCTGCAGCTCTCACAGGCATCTGGGTAAATGGTAGGACTTGGGAAGATTTTCCACTCAGATTGCATGGTGGCTTTTTAGTGGATGGCTGGATTCAAAACTCAATTCCATGGCTCAAATGGATGGAGGCAGCATCTGGATCTGTGTGTTCTGCTTCCAAAGGCTTGGGAGAGGGTTTCAGGGCTGAAAGATACAAGAACAAGGTCTCCCCCCGCTTTCTGGGTGGACTCTACCAGGAGAGGCAGACAAAAGGTATGGAGAACAAAGGGCAGGAAAAGAATTGGAAGGGGGGTAGCTTGCAGGCAGTTTGAAAATGCTGAAAACTCCAAATAATTTTAAAAGCCTAATATTTTAAGATTGTGCAACTTGCCAAGGGTAGGAGAACATTTATTCTAAAATAGACCACATTATTTTAGAGATTAGAAAATGCTTATTTGTTTCAGAAAAGTTTCATAGTAGTTTCACCAGTAAGTTTTAGGATATGAAAAGTAACTTAGGAAAATTATTTCCCCACACAAGCAGACTTGAGCTTCAAAAGGCTCTTGTAGATAGACACACATTTTTCAGGAAAAGGATAGATAAAACACATACAGTAAATGCAAGTGAAACTTTTCCAACAGATAAACTTAAAACAATCCCTCCTGGTAACTTAAGGCTGTTCTTGAGCGTACACAGAGAGAAAGAGGAAAACAAACAAACAAACACAATTTTTTTTCTTCACTCTGTTTGTTGGCCAGACAAACAGAGTGAGGCATTTCCTTTTTGTGGCTTATTTTAAGCAGAATTTCTAGCAGAATTTAAAATTCTTTTTCCTTTGGATTTGAAACAGTTAACAGTCACATTTACCTCTCACACACAGACTTTGACAAACATATATACACAAAGACAAGAGAACAGAAGTCTTAGTTTTACACATCCTAGTCATTCCCACCATAAATTTCAGATAACTCAAGTTAGGGAAGGCACACATTTTAAACATACCATGTGGTTGCATAGAGAAGAGAGAGAGAGAGAGAGAATCACTATTTCTTACTTTCCCTTTTAAGTACCTTTATTTAGCCAAATTAGTTTCCCAGCAAAGCCCTAAGCAAAGTCTATTTTTTTCTATACACTACACAGTCAAAGTCTCCTTGTGAGACTTCTTCCTAACTTAGCTTTGCTTACAGGGCCCCAGCTAGTTGCCCAAATCCAATTCTTTCATTCACTCATTCCATTTCATTTTCACAGTCTCTCCCTTTTCCCTAACAAATGGTTCTGTGCTCTGGCCAAACCCCCATGCTGTCCAGGTTCTGCCAATTAAACAGATCCTTTCTGCGGCTAGGAAAGACCAGAAGGAGCAAAATCCAATTGTGATTGGGGAAAAAAAAGTCTTCTCACTCACACAAATAGAAATACACAAATTTTCTTTGTTCCCCTGGGCTTTAAACTTAAAATTTAGAGGTACTCACCTTCACCTTCTTTCCAAAGCAGCCCTTGAGCTCAAACTCTCAAAACTCCCTTTACTACCCTAGCTCCACATGGGCAAGGCCTGGGAAACCCATCCACAGACACAAGGGGGTCTGCTGCCAGCAAGATGGGGCTTACCAGTCTCAGTCCATTGGAGAGGTTAGCCTGGAGTCCCATCTCGGGGTGCCAAATTGTTAGAAGTAAAGTCTTCATCCTGGTTCATCCAAGCCGGGAATAAATAAGCAAACCTGGCGACTGCTTTGGGAAGAAGGTTACAGTTTATTGCAGAAAGATGGTTCTTCAGGAAAGTGCAGAGGAGAGAGAAGGAGAGAGAAGGAGAAGGGCGAGATTGAGCACATGGGCAGTAGGTTTTATACCCCCCCTAGCCTTTTGTTTGGAATAGTTTCCTGTTCCTGTGGCATGAACCTTGAGGCTGTTTCTGAGTGTTTGTCTAGGCCTTGATATCTGTGGTTTAATTCTATTATCATATCCTGCTTCCCAGGTGATGGGGCTGACTCCTAGAGTTTGGGTGGGGTATGCAGATCTTCTCTTTTGTCTTCTTGATTGCTCTGGCTTCAACTTTCTGATGGTTTTACATCTGCATTTGTTTAGGGCTAAAGTCTTGCTTGGGGCAGAGAGATAGATTTGGGGCCAGGTTTGGTTTTAAAAAGTCCTTTTGAGGAAAAATATATTTTTCTGCTCTTTTTAATATTTCTTCTCTGGGCTAACTTTCATCAATTAGCAGAAAATTGAGTCATATGAAATAAAGTTACCAAGCCCGTAAGTTAATTTCAGACACTATGACAGAATACTTTCCTATTTAGTAACCATAAAATGATGACTGATAACCTACTTTTATAAATACTATCATTTGAAAACCATAGCTGGCATCAGTAGACTTATTGCTCTACATCAGGCATGTCAAATTCGTGACATCACATGACATCTCACGATGTATCATGACTTTTTCCCCATTGCCGGCAATGGGGTCGGCACAGTTTCAGCGTGACGCATCCGGCCCACAGGCCAGCAGTTTGATTTGCCTGCTGTACATCTTGAGATTCTATAGCGATCAGGTAGAGCCAATGTATTTGAAGATGCTATTTTGAGGAGGAGGAGGAGGAGGAAGCAGGAATGCAGAGAAAATTGCTGATAATTCTCCAAAATTTGACAGATTCCTACAGAATGAAACAGATGGAAGTGACATCTGCAAACCACCTGTCCAAATTCTAGCTGCACTGCTAGATCAGCAACCTCACGCAACTTACCACTCTCAAAGAACTCAGCTGAAAGCTCAAACCAGACTCTAGGCACTTGAGAAGGAGATAAGACCACATAGAGAAAATATATAAATTTGTGCATGAATATAATTATTAGAGTGACACTACAAAAGTACCCCCTTGTTTTTTAATGCTTGGAACCAGCCATTCTTATCATTCGGCACAAAACCTCCCATAATAAATGAAGTACAGTAACTCATCAACATGGTGTGACAATTTTAAAGTATAGATTGCATTACAGTATACCTGCAAATTAGCCTTTCCCCAGTGAAAAGCATCAGTAAACTAAGAAAAGGCAATAGGATGCTAAAATATCTTTATTCACAACTGAATTCAGGGGTAACATTTTAGTATGTAACTTTAGTCTCCAGAATCACAAAAGCTTGCCGCATATAAATGGTGCATATTATTTTGAACGAGTTGGATGAATTTCTCTGAACATCTGTTAGTGTGCAGAGAACAACAGGAAGAAGACAAGAAAGGTTTCACTTAAACTTTAAAACATAATTTTCATTGAAGTTTAAAATTACAACGATAACAAAAATAATATGAACTAAAAAAACATTAAAAAGATCAAAGGGAAAAAAGAGAGAAAAAAGAAAAAAATACGAGAGGAGTTTGGAGAGCCAATCCATTCACAGGCTCATCTTTCCATCACTGACATTGGGTCTGCTCTCTGCAGTGCTGTTTTCAGTCTGTCATTGCTTCCCCAGGGATCCCCAGAAAGACTTCCCCTAATGTCAGCTCACTTAAGACTCTGAGTTTATTTTATCGACCTGAATGAATGACTGTTCGACATAATCATATTAGTTGTAGGACTGAACAAGCATGATACAGAAAAAGAATCAGTATCAGAATCCATATGGTGTTCTGGACTATATCAGGAGAATTCACTCCATCTTTGTATTTCGTAAGTGTCATCAAGATGAGAGGAATGAAGAGCAATCTTGTTTATAGGAGACAGTTCCATACACCTCCATAGTGCCATTTGAATTAAAGGAAAGTATTGCTGTACCTTAAAAATGAATCTGGATTAAGGTTAGACCAGGGATAGGCAACCCAAAACACTTAAAGAGCCACTTGGACCTGTTTCCCACCAAAAACAAAACACTGGGAGGCGCAAAACCCTTTTGATATCTAAAATGAAGATAACACTGCATATATCCTTTTTTACCTTTATTATAGGTGTGTGTGTGTTTTGTGTGTGTATGTGTGTGTGTATATATGTATATGTATGTATGTATGTGTATACACACACACACACACACACACACACACAGGTAAAAAAAGGATATATGCAGTGTTATCTTCATTTTAGATGTCAAAAGGGTCTCTCTCTCTCTCTGTCTCTCTCTCCCTCCCTCTCTATCTGCCCTTGGTCTGCCACTCCTCTTCCCTCCCCCCCCCCGCTCTCTTTCTTTCTTTCTCTCTCTCTCTCTCTCTCTTTCTCTCTCTCTCTTTCTCCCCCCCCTCCTATCTGCTGCTCACCTGGCAAGCTTCAAGCTGTTGTCCAACAAGCAACCTCGTCTCTTTTATGACTCATGGACTTCAACTCCCAGAATTCCTGAGTCAGCCTAGCTGGGCTAGCTAGCTCTCTCCTGCCCTTCCTGCTTCCTGCAGAGACGCAGCAAAGGGAGGAGCTCCGCTCAGTAAGCTTTTCAGCTCCTCGGAGAACACTGTGAGTGCACTCTCTTTTACACATACACATAGACACACACAAAAACACAAACACACAGAGAGAGAGAGAGAGAGAGAGAGAGAGAGAGAGAGAGAGAGAGAAGCAGGGAAGTGCAATTGCCTCTCTCTGTCTCTCTCTGCAAAGGCAGAGGAGGCTGGGAGCCACAGGGGAAGGCCCAAAGAGCCGCATGTGGCTCCGGAGCCGCAGGTTGCCGACCTGTGGGTTAGACCAATTTAATGATTATATTGTAGAAACTTTGTTCAAGAAACTTGAACCAAAATTTAAGACGGCATTATAATTATTGCACTGCAATCACTTTTGATATCATTAAATTTCCTAGAAACTAAGGAAGAGAAATATTCTTATATAGAAGTTTGCTGTTGAGGTGATGATATTTTAATAAGAGACTGTGACAATCTCCAAGTTAAAGTTGTTTATTTCTTGGATTTCAGTCCCACCTGGGTAGCTAAATAAAATTATCTTTATTTAACAGAGAAGAATAGTGAGTTTTATCTAATGAGAAGAGTATTAAATAGATCTAGGAAGAACAAGCATTTTGTCAAGAGTTGTTTTAAGATGCTGCTGAAGTTCAGTAAATAATAATTTACTGGATCAGCAGGGAATCCTCCTGAGTCATCTGATGATGAGAGGATTTTTGTTACTATTAAGAAAGAAGGGACAAAGGGGAATATCTTGGCTATTTGAACACTGTGAAATCTGTTCATGGGTTTTTTTTGCATGTAATAGTTAATTAATATAGTGCAAAGTCAAAACAACTTGCAAGATTGTAAGATCTCTTTTTGTAAATTCAATTCTTATGGGTCCTAGAAATCATTGTGTTACATAGACAGGAACACAAATACAATGCTACTCGTATTTTTGGAATTTATTGAAAGAGAATAGATTCAGACTTTAAAAAAATGGTCTGTAATATGAAGAGAACTGGAATCACAAACTCTGCTCCAGCTTTCTCAGAATGATGGAGAATAACTGAATTTAAACTACAATTACAGTTTTTAAGAATTGGAACCTCAGTGCAAATAAAGTTTCTAAACCTACAAAATTTTCTAATTACGCCTGCAGAATGTAAATACATCCATTCTTCAAATATTCTCCATCAATATGGGGAGGTCAGTGACAGAGGGATTATTCAAAATGTAAATCACTAACTACTTCCATGTTTACACATTTTGGATGGATGCCTATAGAATGAACATATTAGACAAAATCCATTTCAGAAAAAGAGGCTCACAGAAAAATACAAACCAAGTAGTTTCCAAGACCACAATTCTTTTATCTATTATATTTTTCATGAGCCAAAATCTATGAATCTTCTCAGATACATGTTTGAGAATTCTTTCTAATAAATGATAAAAAATAGAACTGATTTTTTTCCCTTTCAAATGACTCAACTTCTTCTCTACTCACTTCTTATGCCTCTTTTCTGTTACCTCCATTCTGTACGGCAATTATTCCATTTAAAATTGTAATTTTATTTGTAAAAGAGCTACTGGGAATTTGGTGGAGCTTTTCCAGTCTGGACTCTACTTGAGATCCATGAAACGAATGTCCATGATGAGCAGGAAATTCTTTGGCAACGGGCGTGGTGCTGGTGAAAGCACTGTGAACACTTGGCGTTCCAGATCTACTCCAGTTACCACAATGAAACCAGCCACACTGGTCTCAGAGATGTTCTCATCGGTGCCATCAGCAGTACTAACGCTTAATAGATGATGAACCATGTCACGGCCGGGTGTAACTGGGACTAGCTTGAGTTGATTGTCTTCCTGTGACATGCCCAAAGGCAGACATGAGTCAGGGATAGTGGGCGCTCCCACTTTATATATCTTAACATCAGAGAACTTGACATCAAAAGCATGTGGATAGAAGCACCCTCGGAAGCCATAGAAGTATTCACGTATGCGGTCATCACGAAACTCCCGCCGGAAATCTTTAGAACGCTCTACCACTCCACCTGATTTGGGAAGTAGCACGGTTCGAACAAAGTGAGGCAGATCGCGTTTCAATTCATTGTAGAGGCGTTCTTGATCCAACACTACAACAACATCAACTTCAAAAGCAGAAGCAGCATGTACAAGTGCCTGATATCCAGATCCCTTTACCCAGCCACACGTATTGATGATACAGCCACTGATTGAAGCTCTGCGGTTCACTTCACAGCGCTGATTAAACACATCAGCCAAGCGAGATGTGATCTACACAAAAACAAGAAACGGAAGCATATAATTAACAGGAAATTACAAAACTCATGGGATAAAACACTTAGGACATGAAGTGAAGCTAATCCTTTTTGGAAGCCTCATCCCTTCAAAGGTTCATACCTGTGAGAGAGTTTTTTAAAAGTTATGAAACTGCCCTTAGGCAAAGACCATTTATTTGTCATCATAGCCCATCAGAGGCTAGTTGGGTTTCTTAAGCTCTCATGTCTTGTCCACAATATTTTAGCTAACTACTAAAACTCATGAGCTAAAATGCTTTCCTATTAAATTATAACCCTTTCCCTCTTCTTAACAGTTTTAAATAGTTGCTACCACAAAGATCCTGAAAACACCACTCATTTCAAATCTCTAATCATTATGTAACCCACTCCTCAACCTGATAAATCTTGGATGTATCCTAATAAATCTTGGATAAATCACTACTTTGTACCCTGATTCAGGGTCACCAAGCCTGCATTCCTAATCTTCTTTATCATGAGTATAGCAAGACTTAACCTACAATTATATTTGAATCAGGCTTCCAGGTAATCAGTTAAATAAATCAGGTTAACATAATAAAAGTAAATAAACATTGATTATAGATTAAGATGACTCCTTTTACCCGACTATATTCTTGATACAAGCTGTGTTTATAAAATACATTATATCATAAATCACAGCTAACAAACCACAACAACTACGTTTCCTATAGCAGGTTTCTGGGTTTTTTTAATTACACTTGTGCAAAACCCAGTTGTCCAAATGTCAATGGTAGTGGAGTGAGTTCTTCATACCTTTACAAAATCTTAATTAATAGTTATCTAAATAGCTTATACTCATCGGCTCCAAAATTCAAGAAAGAGAAATTCTACTCTTTCTTCCTCTATGAGTGACTTTTGTATTGTAAACAACTCATCATGATAATTTCTCTCTCATTACCTATTATGTTAGTCAGGCTATTGCTCTGGTAATGGCCAAGCACAGTCCAAATGGCATTCATAATTGGAGCAAAATGACTATTGTTTATACATATCATTTAGTAATCAAGGGAATGAAGACATTTGATTTATAATTATCATATCTTTTCTCCATGTAAAGAAAACAGGAAAAGCTATTCCACAAAGGCCCAAATAAACCAGACAATGGTGCAGTTAAAAATGATGCCTCAAATTTCTATCCCAAATTTCTATTCTGAGATCATTTATGGAGCTAAACTTTATGCAGCGATCTACCACATCATAGCTTATTTCCTCCCAGGGTACTTACTTTGTTATAGAGCTTGATGTTTGTGCCAGGTGTGGTAGACCCAAAATGATAAACCAGGGGGGCTTGAACAGAGAATCCTTCTTCAACATCTGCAGGTCGTTCAATATAGAGTGCTCCCATAGTGCCTGGGATTGAAATTGAGCCCTGGCCTACATCCAGTTCCACAAATGTGGGCCGGCGTCCAAGACGCACAGCATAATTCAATAGCAGGCGGCAGACCGTTGACTTGCCTACATCTGTGGGGCCCACCACCATCACCCGAGGTCCCCGCTCATCTTCACGCTCAGCCTGCCACCGCATTTGCTCCAGAGCTGTGTGAGTGTTGAGGTAGAGAAGCATGGGCGTATCTTTGGAGACATAAGCTACTTCAGTCCGACCAGTTAGTTGCACAGAACAACTATGCCAGGTAAATACAGCAACTTTAGCACCAGCATCAAAGGTGAATTTCTTGTTTCTTGTCAGCTCGGTTCCAAAGATTTCAGCCATGCCTGTCATAAGTTCTAGCTGGACAGTTTGTGAGGCCTCAACTTCAAAGCGGAGTTCAGTCTCTCTATCCAGCTCAAACTTGGCAACCAGTTTCTTTTCATCTGCAGTCTCCTCTGCCATCTCGTTTTATTCACAAATTCTATGAGGACGAAGCATAATTTAACAAAATTATTTTTTAAAAAAATTGTTGTTGGATGCCAGACTTACTAAAAATTCTTTCAAAATCTCTTTTTATATGAAATAGTGAAAGAGTGTTTCTCCCCTAAATATGTTCTCCAAAAAGGTGAACAAATTTTAATTTCATATTTATGGGCTAACTAACTGTTCCTAAATTGGATCTCTCTTTGTATGCTGGATTACAACTCTCTTTAGTATCAGATACTAATGTTGTTGGTTGAAATCATGGGCACTTTAGTCCCAATATCCAAGAGAAGCCAATTTGGAAGGATTTGGGATAACTGAATATAGTTGAAAATACTCAATACTTTCCCAGAGAGATCAACCATATTTTTTTGGTAGCCATGATGTTGGCCTAAACCACTTTGCTTCATAATGCTAATTCTTCTAATGTAATGACCATATGAACAAAACATAATTCCTTTCTTTTTATAGTACATAGTAAAATAGAGACTACATACTGAAAGTGTGCGTACATATTTGTTATTATTAATATTATTAAAAGAAACTCTCTAGAGACACTGTGGGCTTAAATTACAATTGGATAGTTGTTCTTTTCAATGTACAGATCTAGTTTCCGAGATTCCAGTTAAAGTTCTTGCTGATGACAAAAATACAAAAGTAGTTTCCTATTGAGATCTTCCAAGATACAGTCTCTTTCACAACACTAGCATTTTCTTATGGTCCCCCATCTAAGTCATCATCAGGAACGATCATGCTCGGCTTTTGAAAACTAGTTGGGTGTCACAGGTTCCGACTAATGAAGCACTTCAAAGAACTTTCAGGCATGTTTCCTAAAGTCTTTATTACAGAGCTACAATTCTGCCGGTCACCATCATGGACGTATTGATGCCAGAATCTGACTTCCTGTCGCTGGCATCAACCTTTTCTTGCTAAACCCCTCCCTTGTCTTGCAGTCACAAGTCACATTATCCAATTAGTGTGAAGGTCAAAAGTTTACTTCCTCTTTCTTTCCCGGGCTTTTTCTCCCCCCCACTCTAAGCTGTGTATTAACCCAGTAATTACCAGACAGTTTTGCATATTGTCAAAGCAAGAATATACAGTATTTGCAGCATTGACATTGGGGTTTGCCATGCAGCTAACAGTCAGATGAAAACTGCGCTGTAGTTAGTCACATTTTTATTGTGACAGAGTCATAAAAACTCATCAATGAAATCTTATCTACGTGATCGCTAGCACGTAACCAATCAATCATGAAATTCACTGAAAAATGTTAAGGTTTTATAATGTGAGCTGATAAAAGCTAAAAGACGCCTCTCCCAAAGGGATTTCAATCCCATCGTTTCATCAACTACCAAAGCAACACATGGAAAACAGTGAGACTAAGGCGGAGACAAGAATGAAATGGTCCCAAGATAGAAAGGACCAGCTGAAAAGTTGAGCCACCCCTATAGTAACGGAGTCAGAACCGTGAAGAAAGCAGGCAGAAATCCACCCACCAATTAAATTAAATCCACAGGGATCCAACCGCTCTAGTCTTGTATCAATTTGACAACGGAAATGCCAGTAACTCCGGAAGTGAGGGAAGCATGACAGTTAGACAGCCACGTGACATTCACTTGTTTCAAGGCAGCCTCCTCGCCCGGTGGCACAAGGGAAATGGAGTTTGTTGGTGTGTACGAAACAAAAGGCGAGTGAGGAAATCCTGTTCGCCTCCTTCTGGGAAACGTAGTTTTATGTCAAACGATTAGGACGACTGTCAACCTGTTTCTTTCTTTTTGTCAACGCCACGAACAGCGCTTCAGATATCTCTTCCTTAGATACTATAATATAATGATGAACTAAGAAAATGCTTTTCTCACCATACGAGAAGTGCCGCGATTGGTGGATTATCGAGTCAAACTGTGATATTTCTAGGAAAGGGAGAATGTTTTCTAACTCCACACTTCTATATACAATAGCTTCTCCAGCTTAATAAATATTACTTGGTGGTTTGATCCTTGCAAAAAGCACACTTATTTCTCTGTATTGCTACCCTGCAACTAGCTATGTTTTTGAAGAGAGGAGTGCTGAACTTTCAAGTTTTCAGTACTAAAAGTGACTCTACCTGCTGCTTTCTGTTCTAGGGAGAAGTAGTAGAAAAAATATGCAATTTCCCGTTTTTAGTCTGTTGCAGTTCTCCTCCACAGCAGAACCTTTTAGAGTTGAGCTTAGTATCAAACAGCAGCACAGAGGATGTAAGATGCCACAAGGATACTACTTACAGCAAAAGCTGATGTTCACTCATGATGATGCTGCTGCTATTTGTTCAGTCCTGTCTGATTCTCAGTGATTCTAGGGACCAGATGTCTCAACTTTTTCCGATCTTGCATGGCTTTTTTCCGTTGTTTTATGCTCTGGCTGGTGTGAACTTTAATAGCGACTGTGTTTTTTGGTGGCCTCATTTCTTCACTGCTGACCATTCACAGCATAATTGCCTCTTCCAGTGAGTTTGATTGCATGACATGACTAAAATAAGGCAGAATTTTGGGGTTTTACCTTCCAGCGATATGACTAGTTTTATATGCTACAATGCATTCATTGCCTTGATCAATCTGCAACCCTAAAAAGGTGAATTCTTGCATGCATCTGATCTCTTCACTGCCAATTGTTATTTTGATATTTCCATTCCTCACAGTGATCATGAGCTTGGTCTTTTTGATGTTCAGAAAGAGGCCAAATTTTTTGCTTGCATCTTTAATCCTTTTAATCAGATGTTTCTGGCCTTCTTTGGTTTCTGAGAGGAGAATTGTGTCATCAGAATATCAAAGATTGTTGAACTTCCCTCCTCTAACCTTAACTCCAAGTTTTGATTCTTCAAGTTCTAGCTTCCTATGATTACTTCAGCATAGAAATTGAATAAAAAAGGTGAAAATATATAGTCTTGCCACACTTTTTTTCTATATTGAACCAATCAGTTTTATCCTGTGATGTTTGCAGTGACTTCCTGATTTGTGTATAAGGACTACACTAATTGATCAGATGTGTTGTTACCCTTAGTTCTTCTAGAGCTCTCGATATCTTGTCATGATCAGCACAATCAAAGCCCTTCTTGTAGTCCATAAAGCAGATGTAGATGTTCTTTTGATATTCTTGAGAATCTTGCTAGTATGAAGGATGAGGACAATTGTGCAGTAATTGGAGAAATCCTTGGGATCATCTTTTTTTGGCAGTAAATTAACACTGATTTTAATCTTTTGGCTATGTGTTCATTTCCCAAATTTTCTGGCACAAGGCTGTGATGGTTCCGCTATTCTGCATGAATGGTAACATCTAGGACAGTGGTTCTCAACCTTTCTAATGCCGTGACCCCATAATACAGTTCCCCATGTTGTGGTGACCCCCAAGTGGGTGTGGCCACCAATAAGAGGGAGTAGGACAGCTAGGGAAAAGGGGAAAAAATGGCGGACCCCCGTGAAATGGTCATTTGACCCCAAATGGGGTCCTGACCCACAGGTTGATAAGCACTGATCTAGGACCTTGTCAACATGGCTTCGTCCTGAAGGACGACTGACTCTATTTCTGCTTCCCTTTCCTCATCATCCTGAGGAACTGGGCCTCTGTTGTTGGCAGATACCCCTTCTGTATATTCTTGCCATCTGCCCTTGATACCTTGTTGGTCAGGCAGTTCTTTCCCTTCATTGTGATGATGCTTTTATGAACACCGGTAGGACAAACTACCACTCGAGAGCAATAAAACTCGGAGTGCGGTGGGGAACCTTCCTAACTCAGACACGGCGGCAGGCGGCGTCGGAACCCATTCGGGGTGTGACAAAGAGCAGCGAAACCACCGAGAAAAGAGGTGCGAGGCGGCGTCCTATTCGTGGGAGAGGCCCTCAGGCAGAAGTGGCACTCGCCGAAAGGAGGAAGAAAAAGTACAAGGGAAAGGAGGCGAGAACCTCCCTCGCCTTTCGCTCTTTTTGATCCCGAAGAAGAGCCGTTAGGCCCACGGAGCCGTCACTCCACGGGCGAGGAAGGACCCTTCTTCACGTCCGCCACTCCCTAAAGAGGAGAGGAAGCTCTTCCTTTGCCGTCTTCAGCCTTTAGCACCTACCCGCAGGCGCCGCGCCTTCGCTGCCGCTCCGGGAAACCAGGTACTCGGTCGGTCGGCCCAAGCAGTCACAAGAAACACCAGCACGGGAAGTAGGGCGCGCATGCGCGTTCTCAAACCCGCTCGGGCTCGCCGGTTGGTCAGCCTGCTGCCCGTAGGCGCGCGCGCAGTCACCTTTTCTCTGCACCCCGCCTTCCTTTCCTTTGAGCGCTCCTGCGGACATGCGCAATAAGCTACGTTTGGCGAAAAGCGAGAACAGATTCGTTTGCGTAAGGGGGCGGAACTGCGCCGCTAATAAATCACGACTCGGGGAACGAGGAGCTCCAAAGCTGGAGCTAGAAAAGTGGTTATTCGCATGCGTGTCAGTGACGTGAGGCGTCTGGAAGCATCCGGACCAATAGCTTGCTTGATAAATTAGGAGGGCAGGGAATAAAAGGTCGGAATGGGCATGTGTGAATCGTGGAGAGTTTGCGTTTTTTTTCATTTTACAATCGAGGGATCGAGGATCGCGGTGTGGAACTTTTGAAGAATTGGCAAAAAGAGATTCACTTGCAGATTAATCTGTTCAGAATATCTGGAGCAGAATCTTCGGTTTCATTTCTGATAGAGGATATCATACGTATAGAAATCATGTTTCTAGTCCAGGATAATTTTTTATACTTCTGCTAACCGATATGAATGAAAAGAAATGCATGTGACCCCCCTGGTAGTTGTAACTTCAGAGTTTTTAATTCAGTATAACTTTTGAAAACCTGTATTATAATTAGTATTGGTCAGTATGCCTAAAAATAAGCATGATCATTCCACTTACACGTTTGGCAAATTTTTTCCAATTAACAGTGATCTTTCAAATATTTGCACTCCTGTGCGCTAGAAAAACTCACAGAAAGCTAAGAAATGAAATCTGCAGAACGATCACTTGGTTCTCTCTAAAACCATTGTAAAATTATTCTTTGAAGCTATCTGTAGAAACTGTTATTTAGGGGATTCTGCACATGCAGGTAGTCTATTGACCCTAAAATTTCTGTTGCTAAGCAAAATATTTGTTAAGTGAATTTTGCCCCATTTTATGACCTTTCTTATCACAGTCATTAAGCAAATCACTGCAGTTGTTAAATTAGTAACAGGGTTTTTAAGTGAATCTGACTTCCCCATTGACTTTGCGTTTCAGAAGGTTGCAAAAGGTGGTTATATGACCTCGGGACAGCGCAACCTTCATAAACATGAGCAAGTTGTCAAGTATCCGAATTTTGATTACCTGACAATAGGCGTGCTGCAATGGTTGTAAGTGAAAAACTGCCATAAGTCACTTTTTTCAGTGCCATTGTAAATTTGAATGGTCATTAAATGAACTGTTGTAATTCGAGGACTACCTGTATAAAGAATTTTGCTAAGCTGTTAGCAATGTGAACACGACTGACAATTACCATGGCTACAGATTTTTCTTCTTCCACCTAGTACAAATAAATTTCTATTACTTAATGTATTTTTCTTTTTGAAGGAAAGATTGGTAATTTTTTGAATGGCTCATAAGCAGGCATTTTCCTGTTCAGAATAAAGAGGCTCGGATTGTGTTTATATCATTCACTATCACTATTACACTGTGCCTCTCTTGTGTCAGAGGGGAGTGTTTCTATTTTCAGGGAACGGGTATGTGGGCCTCCTGTTGTTCCAACTCCATTCAATCAGAGACATATAGGTAGTCCTTAGCTTATGACCATAATTGAGCCCAAAATTTCTGTTGCTAAGCAAGACAGTTATTAAGTGAATTTTGCCCCATTTTACCTTTCTTGCCATTCTTAAATGAGTAACACGGTTGTTAAGTAAATCTGGCTTCCCCACTGATTTTGCTTGTTAGAAAATTGCAAAAGGACATTGTTGGGACATTGCAACTCTAATAAACATGAGCCAGTTGCCAAGCAACAGAATTCTGATCATATGATCACGAGGAGGCTACAAAGGTTGTAAGTGTGAAAAACGGTCATAAGTCAATTTTTTCAGTGCTGTTGTAACTTTGAATGGTCACTAAATGAATAGTTGTAAGCAGGGCTTTTTTTCTCATAGAACGCCCAGAACGGAGTTCCAGCATCTTTTTTGGATGGAACCTTGTAGGGTAGGCAAAGTGGGTTATATGACATGTGTGAGTTACAGCACCTTTTTTTTTTTTTTTTTTAGAAAAAAAGCACTGGTTGTAAGTCAAGGACTACCTATATAGAACACAAGGGAATAGTCTGGAAATTAAGAGAATGTAGCAAGTGTCCAGATTCAAGGTTCACAAATTGCCTTTTAGCCTAACAGTTGTTTTCCATAATAGCTCTACCCTGCTATATTAAAAATACTGTTTGTTATCTTTTGTCTAGTATGTGTCTATATATATATGAGGTTGTAATTATCTATAGATATACCAATTTATTTTTTAAAAAAATTGTTGTTGGATGCCAGACTTACTAAAAATTCTTTCAAAATCTCTTTTTATATGAAATAGTGAAAGAGTGTTTCTCCCCTAAATATGTTCTCCAAAAAGGTGAACAAATTTTAATTTCATATTTAT